GGAGATGCAGGCAAAATCCAACAGCATGACAGGCCAGAACTACAACTGCCCGCCGATCAGCCCGAGGGCATTGCTGGCCGTGGCCGAGGGTATATACTTCTTTCTGTTCAACGGCTGTTGCTTGGAAGTGCTGGGCTGGAATGAGGGCGGCTCGCACGAGAGGGTAGGGCGGGGGGGGGGCCCAGCGAAGACAGGGGGCGTCTTAAAGGGATCGGCCCCTTCGAGGGTGTCTTCTAAGAGGACCCCTTCGAGGGCAGGATTGCTTCTCAGAGGGCGTGGTGCCTCAGTGGGAAGGCGCCCCCCCCCTCGCCCTGCCTCCTTGGCGCACCGCCTAAGGAGGAATGCCGAGTGGCGTTGCGCGGCGCTGCTCGGCAAGTGCCCGAGAGAATCGCACGAGCGAAAATCCTCCGATTCATCCACTCAACGTCACCTCTCTGATTCACAGTTAGCGGTGTCGGTAGGGCAGATCGCACGTTTAGCCTTGTGAGGCAGGCATTGTGTCAAAGGGTGGCTGCCCTGCGTCGCTGCACTGCTCGCGGCTACGACGCAGCGGCTAGCTGACGAATCCATCATGCGGATGATCCCCCGACTCACAACGAAGGACCTCATCTCCGATCCGCTGATGGATGGTGCTGCCAAGGAACAAACATAAGATACATCGTAGGACGCCAGCATTAAAGATGACTGCTTCCTCTTGAGAGGGCTACGTGGCGCTGCGCATCGAAACAAAGACAACTGCCTGGGGAGAAGCCACGCTGCTCCGACTCCACGCCAGTAAATCCTACGTGAATCGCTGGCAAAGGCGTGGGAGAGCGGCTAAACGATGAATGCCCAGATAGTGTTGTCGGTCAAACGCTGGCTGTGTTACATCATTGCGCGGTGGACTGCTCGCACGCAGCGGCTATGATGATGCCAGGTCCGACAATATGGTGATCAGATTTGCCGCTCCAAGCGCAAATCCCCGACCCAGCGATGACACGGTGGCAATGGCAACTAGAAGTAATTCGGCACGGCGACTAATGATTGGGACAAGCTGGTCTATGAGATGTCGAACCAAGAATCTACCGAGACGTGCCAAATGACTCTTCTGCGCGTGCTAACATGATGGCTGTGTCGCACTGGTATGAATCACCGCCTCCATCAGCACATATTCGTATGACGTCTGATATTTGAACCCACTGCTCGAATACAACTTCAGTATTGGCGCTTGATGCCAGCCGTATCATGGTAATCTCTGCTGCTGACCTGCTTGATTGACCGGTCGTTCCTTTGTGCCGTACAAGCTACCGCACACCAGGGGCCACAAGGCAATCTGCTCGAAGGTGCATCCACCGCGGGCGCTGACAGTCGACGCACGATTGCGAAGGACTTCCCCCACCGAATGACCCCGACGACATCTGAAAAGAATCGAAAGCATTCAACCCCCTCTCGTGCTCCTGGCGCGGTCCTTGCCCCCCTCCCCTCCTCCTCCTCCTTGCCCCCCTCCCCTCCTCCTCCTCCTCCTCCTCCTCCTCCTCCTCCTCCTCCTCCTCCTCCTCCTCCTCCTCCTCTTCCTCCTCCCCTCCTCCTGCTCCTCCTCCTCCTCCTCCTGCTCCTCCTCCTCCTCCTCCTCCTCCTCCTCCTGCGCCCACTCCCCGCGCGTTCCTTCTGCTCTAGTGCCCGGTGCACGGCCCACAGAGGCGCCTCCGGGGGCAGCAGTGCCTGGGCAGCGGGTGCAGCGGCGCGGCTGCGCAGGGACGGCGGCACTGTTGCTCCCAAACCTCATCCTCCCTCCCCTCCTCCTTCTCTTGCTCCACCTCCTTCTCCTGCTCCTCCTCCTCCTGCTCCTGCTCCTCCTCATGCCCCTCCGCCTTCTCCTCCTCTTCCTCCTCCACCTCGCAATCCTGCTCTGGGCCCGCAGAGGCCTCACCGAAGTAGCATGATATCAAAGTAGGACCATGGATGATGAGCCCACGGTGAGCCGTTACTGAGGCTACTTCGATAAAGCGCAGGCCCTCTTGCGAGGCTGGCCACGAGCAGCTGGATCAAAAGAAACAGAAGAGAAGAAGAAGAAGAAGAAGCATGAAGAGAAGGAGTGGAGGATGAGGAGAATGAGCAGGAGGAAGGGGGAGAGTAGGACGGGGATGGTGAAGAAGAGGAATCAAAGGCCTTTTTGCTCTTTCACTGGAGGGGGGCTGTCCCTTAGAAGGCCTGGCGGGAATTCCTCCTCCTCCTCCTCCTCATCCTCCTTCTCCTCCTTCTCCTCCTCCTCCTCCTCCTCGTTCTCCTCCTCCTGGGAAGGACGAAGGAGACGGAGGAGGCGGAGCATAGCCAAGGAGGACCCGATAGTCCTCAGGGCCTCCATCCCCCGCCCGCAGTCTGGCCCTGCGCAGCTTCTTCAATTTTACCGCAGCACGCGGGGTCTGTTGGTCGAGGTGGAGCTCTAGCCTCCCTCGGAGGGAGGGATGGACGAAGAGGAGAGGAGAGAAAGAAGGAGAGAGGAGACAGGAGGAGGATGAGAGAGGATGACAAGAGGACAAGACAAGAGAGGAACCGATGCGGACACGCCTGCCAGCGGCAGCCGCTGGAAGGACGATGGCAAGAGGAGGGCAATGAGGAGAAAGGAGAACGGAGGAGGAGGAGAAGGAGGAAGAGAAAGGATGACAAAGGGAGGAGGAGGAGGAGGAGGAGGAGGAGGAGGAGGAGGAGGAGGAGGAGGAAGGATGATAGAAGGATGCGCCCGCCTCGGGAGGCAGCGCATCGCACAGCTCGGCGGCGATCTTGCGCTCCTGCCGCCCCCCCGCTGCCACATGCCGGTCCCCCCGCCACCTGCCTCGCCCTGCCCCCTCTCCTTGCCATCCTGCTGCCTCGATTTTGCCCTCCCTCTCCCTCCCCCTGCTCCGCCTCCACCCCCTCCACCCCGTGCTCCTTCCCCCTCCCCCTCCCTCTCCAGTCGGCCCTTCCCCGTCTCCTCGCCCTGATCCTCTCCATCTCACTCCCCTCAGGGGGACTTCCCTCCACGAGTATACCCGCGAGTGCAAGCCCCTACTTCATCCTGCCCCTCCTTTCCCCTCGTACTTCTCCCCGGGTCCTAGTCCCCAGGTATCCTCGTCGTCCCATCACCATCCTCCTCTCCTTTCAGCATCCCCTTCATTCCCCCACTCTCTAGTCCCCATTATCCTCGCCTACCCCTCCACAATCCTCCTCTCCTGTTCAGCGTCTCCTTCATTCCCCCATCCTCTCCCTCCCCGTCCTCCCAGCCCCCAGCGAGGGGTGGACTGGGGCAGGGGAAGTGAGAGGGGGGTGGGAGGGGGGGGGGGGGAGAACACGAGGAAGAGGAGAGAGAACGAGGGACGGGGGGAGGGCATGAGGAAAAGAGCAAGAGAGCAGAGGGAGGCGTAACGAATCTCTCACAGGCCGCAGGACCGTCGGAAATGCTCCCCTCCAGCAAGCGTTTTCCCACCGCTGCCACTCGCCCCAGCAGCGCATCCTCCACATTCACCTCCTCATCCATCTCATCCTTCTCCTCCTTCTCCTCCTCCTCCTCCTCCTCCTCCTTCTCCTCATCTCAAGAGTCCTTCCCGCATATGCCTTCCTCTCCTCTTCGCCCCCCTTCTCCCAGCCCCGTCGCCATGCGCAGCGGCAGCTCGAGGGGTAGGAAGGGGATGTTCTTGCGAAGGATCTGCTCCTCGTCGAAGCCATTCTTGAGGAACATCCTACCGCATCCTCCCTCCACTTCCCCTCTCCCCACCCCTCCTCCTCCTTCTCCTCCTCCTCCTCCTCCTCCTCCTCCTGCAGCTCCGTGTGATCGAATTTGTTTTTCCCCCTCCTGCTTCCTGCTCTTTTTCTTTCTCCTTATCCTTCTCCTTCTCCGCCTCCTCCTCCCCCTCCTCTTGGAGCTGATGCTGGCGGTCCTCTGTGCTCTTTCTCCTCCTCCTCCTCCTCCTCCTCCTCCTCCTCCTCGACCTCATTGCTTCTCGCTCCTCGCTCCTCGCTCTTCGTCCTCCACCTGCCGCAGTCGCCGCGTGTCGGTTGGGTGGGCACCTGGGGACCCTCGAAGCCCCCACCCCCCGGCCTTCGCCACAGGAGGGCGAAGACCACGCAGGCAACGACCGAGTAGGAGAGAGGCCGCTGCCCCGGACAGGCCCGGCGGCCGCCCTCGAGGCCCTGCCGCGAGGCGGCCCGGAGAGGCCCTGCTCAGGGCGGCCAGGGCGGCTCGGGGCGGCCGCCGCGCGAGGCCACTGGCGCGGGCCGTGTGTGGACGCCCCGAAGGGGCCGCAGCACGCCGCTACAAAGACCTGCACTGGTCCGAGGGGGCCGCCTTCCTCGCCTCTTCCTCCGCGGCCGCCGCTCGCCTTCTCCTCGCCTCCACGCGCGCAAGTGGGAGGGGAGGCCCTCGCGGAGGGGAGAAGGTACTTAGGTGGGCTGGTGGGCTGGAGCCTGCGCCAGCATGCGCGGCAGGCTGCGGCCCTGGTCGCACTCGAAGGAGCCCGGTCGGGCCGGCCCCGAAGCTGTTTGGCACTCAACAGGGAGGGACGCAGTGGGATCCGAGCAGCGTGGGCTGGGCGTCCTTGGCGGCCTTGCAGCGGTGGCGGTGGGTGGCACGAGCATGGACCTCACCCTCTCGTCAACCCCGATACCCCCTGAGCGCCTACTCGCTCCTCCATCGCTCGCTGCTCGCTCGCTCACCGCTCGCTCGCTCGCCTCGCCCCTCCTCTTCCTCCTCCCTCGTCGTCATCGACCTCCAGATCTCAGGGGGTGTGTCTCCTATTGAGAAGCAAGGAGATGGTCACGCTCAGCATCAATGGCGGGGTCAAGCTGAGGTCGTTCGCCGCCTCCACTATGAAAACGACCACGCCCATCGATATCTGCGGAGGGGGGTGAGGGGGTGAGCCTTGTGGAGGCGGAGCGACGGATGTAGGAGAGGGGGCGGGGGGAAGGAAGGCATTAGGATGGGAGCAGCGAAGAGGGAAAGATGGATGGACGAGATGCAGAAATCTAGGAGGGGACGGAATTGGAGGGGATTGGCCGGAAAGTGAGAAGATGGCAGCAAATTCTCGCTACACCCACAACCAAGTATATGGCGTGCGAGGAACGGAGGGATGACCAGGGATGAAGTGGACAGGGGTGGAGCGATGGAGGGGGAGGGGTCAGGGGTTGGGGATTAGGGGAACGATTTGATCTGAGATCCTCCCTCACCCCTTCCCCCCGAGGCATCGCAAGCTGATGCGGGGATTTGATGAGGCGAAGGCAAGGCTAGACGGAGGCTACAAGCGTATGCAGACAAGAAATAAAGGCAACTACGAACTAACCATCGATGACCAACAAACAAATAACCTAACTCGAACCACATGCATCACAATGTACGAAATGGTATCTACAGCCTGACGCGCCTCATCCAAAGATCAGGACTCGAATCACCGCGCGCGCTCAAGTTCTGGCTAGTGCGGGCGCCAAAACATGCCGAGGAAAGGAAACCGTGCCATGAGGATCCGGAACCGCACGGTACCGAGGATCATCTTGGGGCTTCATGGGCGCCAAATGCCTTACCCCAGGGATGCCAGGGAGCTGTGTCGTCAACAGATTGGAAAACAGCAACGAATGAATGTTGCTACCGAGGTGGCCTTTGACTGCGTGGCTGTACGGTTGGAGCTCTACTGCGACCACTTTGGGAAGATGACGGCAGAAGAGAGTATAGGAAAGAGGAGGGTCAGGGGGAGCACGCGTGAGGTTGTCTCACAACACTGCGGAGGGGAGGCAGCGAGGAATGATAAGGAAGGAAGGGTGAAGAGGACAATGATGATGAGGAGCAGCAGGAATTAAGACCGAAGACGCATACGGCGAGACAACGCCGCCTCCTGCCTTTGGGAAGAACCTGCGAGACACAACATGATGGAAACGCAACGCACGAATGACCGACAATCAACGAAGACTCACGCGACTGCAATACGATTATGAAGGCCCACTTAAACCGACTTAAGTCTGTCTCGGGACCATCCGGGAGGCCCTCTGGGACCTTCTTGGTGACCTACTCGAACTGTCGTGAACCGTGCTGTCGCTCCCTTCGGCTGTCTTGAGAATATGTTGGAAATCTCAAGCCCCTCGAGGCCGTCTGTGAAAATGTTTAGGGTCCTCTTGGCGCTCTCTTGGCGTACTCTTTTTCGTCGAGCACAATCTCCCGCCACTCTTCTCCTGACAAAGGGCGAAATCTAGACTGCGCTGCCAAACTGAATTCGTACTCACCTGCGCGATTTATATTTCCACGGCAACAATGGGAAATACTACCTACGGGTACGCCTAGCTGCTGGGAAGCGTGCGTCATAGATGGGTACCACACCCATAAGTCCGAAGTGAGATGACGTGCCCAGACAGGTTTACAATCTGCACGGGTCCTACCACGAGACCCTGTGCGCCACGAGTGCCAAACATTATCCCCGTGCGTCACATATTCCAAATTGTCGACATGGTTGTTGCTGCGATCGCCATCCTTATGGTGGACTACGCAAGTATCAAAATGTGGCATTGGTCCATTGAAAGTCCGAGCCACCAAACGATGCACAAAAAAATGGCGCGGGGCTCCATCATACGAAACAGTAATCCGGCGATAACCAGAACCGCTCCGACATCCCCATGAAACGTGTTGCCGAGTAGATCTCACGCGCCCAGCAGAGCTGACCATCCACGTGGAAAGTTGCCTTCCTTCGAGAGGATGCAAAGCTGGACGCCATTCCTCCCCAGGGATTTCATCGGGCTCGCAATCAGCATAGCGGAGCTCGAAACCTCCGACGGAATGTGCAAGTCCTTGGCAACATTTGGCAATCGACGAGGGAGGGCACGCAACTTGACGTGCAGCCTCACGGATGGAAGGGAACAGCTTCCAAGCATCAGTGTCAATGCACTTGCCAAACGCGGGCTTTGACACGGCCGTGGCGCAAGACTTTCTTGATGGGTTGGATCTGTACGAATGCCGAACATTATCAGCATGCGTGATATACTCTAAGTTGTGTACCATATTGTTGCTGGGATTTCCATCCATGTGGTTGATTTCATTCATGGTCTCGCATGGCGGCGGTCCCAAGAACGCAAGAGCGACAACGCGATGCACATATTTGGTGGTTCCTCCGACACGTGTCACGAAATATCCGTCAAAGCGTTTGCTGCCCCAAGAGACCACGCCCCTCTTACTCAAAATGCGACCATGGGAGCTCACGCAAGCAATGCCTATCGGCAAGCTAGACGCTTCTATTGTGGAGGAGAACCGTGATACTGACGACGTGCATAAGTTGTTTGGCCACATTACGGACAATGCAATCTTCCTCCACGCCTGAACGCATGATGATGCTGTGAAGGCCATGATTGGCCCCTATCTCTACCGACCAGACTACTGACTTGAGCCCGGCGTGCTCGAAGATATTTGCGCATCGCCAGGGTCAGAGCGGCTTGAGCCTAACTGACTTGAACCAAGTCGGCGCAAGCAGAGCAGAGCAGTGTTTGCAATACGACGCGATGGCGTTTGCCAAGCTGAGCGGTACAAACAATGCGGTGCAACCTATGTGGTGTGAGCTATGCGGTGCAAACTAGGCGGCACATGCTATATAGCTCAAGTTATGTGGCGTAAGCTGTGTGGTGTACGCCATGCTGTGCAAATTATGTCGTGCAACATGTGCCGTGCAAGCTACTATGCGGTAGAAGCTCTATGGTGCAAACTGTGCGGCCGCCCACAGGGTGCCCACGAGGCACCCACGGGCCGGCAGGAGCGGCAACGTGGCGAATCCTCGACAGCCCCACCCAGTGCACGAGACGCTCACGGGCGGGCACGGGCGGCAAAGTGGCGACTCCTCGACAGACCTACGCAGCGCACGTGGCCCCCACGAGAAGCCCACGGGCGGCAACGTGGCGACGCTTCGACGGACACACGCAGCGCACGTGGCCCCCACGAGGCGCCCACGGGCGGCAACGTGGCGACGCTTCGACGGACCCACGCACCGCATGGGGCACCTACGAGGCGCTCACGCGCGGGCACAGGCGGCAACGTGGCGAACGTGGCGAAAACCTCGACAGACCTGCGCAACGCACGGGGCGCCTGCGAGGCGACAGCGGGCGGGCACGGGCGAGACCGCGGCGAAGCCTCGAAAGACCCACGACGCGCACGGGGCACCCACGAGGCGCCCACGCGCGACAGACCAATCCAACTACGCAGGAATCCCCAGTGCAAACTCTGTTTGGGGGAAATTGCCTTGACTCCTGAGCAGTGCTGGAAGTCCTTGGGCGTCTGAGAACAATCCCTGGCCACCTTGGGAGCCATCTTGGGACACCTTGTGGGCCGTGGAGCCGGTCTGTGTGGTCCAAGCAGCGAGAGTCGCCGTCACTAAAATTCCTCGTCGAAGTCACAGCCCGAGGTCCGCTGGCCCTGGTGCCTCCTTACACTTGTGAGTACGACGACACCTAGCAAAAACGACACCGACATCCCAAACTACAGTACAATGATACCACACAACAAAAATATCCAACGCGCAACCAACGCTGGGTGACTACTACCACATTTAAATGATGAGAATGAAACTTAAGTCGACCACGACAGAGGCCAGGGTCCGCAGTCGGGCTTGAACTCTGGTGTGCCACAAGAAGCATATCCAGGCAAAATCCACATGTCAACATCGTACTTCGAATCCATGAGCTCATAGAAAAAGTCACGGATATAATCGCAACAGTCAGCCAACGCATGAGTCTGGCAAACCCCAGGCGACACTCATGATCAAATCATCCTAGAGACCACGCCGTCCGCGTCTCCGCCCGCATTGGAGACCGCCCTTGTGGCCGCCTGAATCCAGTACATCAAGCGGCCAGCCCCAGCTTCTAGTCACTGATGGTGTCCATGGTTTGTTGGTCGGACACCTTCGTAAGCCTTAGGCCTGGAACCCTGTCGCCGGTGCGGGCGTCATTGCTGTTGCCAGTGGCTTATGCTTTCGGTGCAGCTTCCGCTGTCCTGAAGTCGTGGCCTCTACTCGATGGTATCGGCTCGAACAAAGACGGCAGAGCGGCCTGCAACGTGCACCTCAGATCGCGGCCACCAGCTCTGTCCCATAACTACTGCCCATTCACAAACGATCTTTGCATGCGCACTGGAATCAGTGCCACATAGACGGCTTCCGACGCACCAGAAATGCCCGAAGACGGCCAAAGTGGCCCCGAACAAGCCTCTAAGGGATCCCAAGAGGCCCAATGAGGCCCCCAAGATGCCTCCAAGAGGCCCCCAGGATGCTCCCAGGAGACACCAAGAGTGCCCCAATATGGTTGCAAGAGGCGACCTCCTCCTCCTCCTCCTCCTCCTCCTCCTCCTCCTCCGCTTCCTCCTCCTACTACTCCCTGCTCCGTCTTCTCCTCGTTCTCCTCTTCCTCACGTGTTCCCCGAAAGGTTTCAACGACAGCTGGGGGATTACATGGTCCGATAGCTCTAGCCCAACTTTCGGCCACATATGCGGTTCCAGAAAGGCAGGGTGCGGCGGCGATTCGCCGTAGGCGTCCTCAACATAGAGGCCCAGAACGAGCATGAAATATGTACCCCATTCGTTATGAAGCAATCTCGGTTGTTCATGGTACGTCTGCCATACTCGAAAACAGAGCGTCGGCACAGAGTCTCGAGCAGTTGGGGACATACGAAGATATACTGGGCCATGGTTCGTGTGGCAACAGAGCAGTGATAAGGTAAACGGCGGGTTGAGTTATGCCGATCCAGAGGTAAACAAAACCATGTCCTGGCTTGAGTGGAGAAGTGCCCGTGGTAATGACGTGAACAGAACTGGCTCCCGCGCAGGCTGGGCCCGCCGCAAATGCAAAGGTGCAGACGGCATGCCGATCTGCGTTCCGCAGACCAGTCAGGATGGGGACCGACACCGCGGACCGAGGGAAGCGGCCTTGCGAAGGTCAGGGATGCGCTGCCAACTCTGGCCAGGCTCAGTCTGGCAAGGGCTCGGGGAGGGAGCAAGACGGAGGGAGCGAGAGAAAGGTTGCGAGGAACAAGACGCGGAGGGGGAGAGGAAGAGAACAGGGGAGCATACGTGTATGAGACGGACACAGCGCCGAGACACATTACCATGCCCCCCTGCCCTGCATCAGGCGCGCCTGCTTGAATCCCGAGAGCATTGCCGCGCTGCCCACCATTGCATAGACGCCAGGGACCGCAAGGTTCTGTGGGCGGGGCGCCAGGTCGACGATGACGGCGACGAACATGAAGGCGAATCTACAAACGACGACGACCTAAACGGCAACGGCCGCTGCGGACACGACGACCCGCACCGTCTCATCTTATCCTCCTCCCCCTCTTCCCCATCAACATCCTGCCTATTGCCTCAGGAGACCACCGCACTGCATGCTTTATGTCGGGACACCTCCTCCGCTTTGTGGTCCTTATCCCCGTCGTCGTCGCGATATCCTCCGCCTGGGCCGACGGAAGTGGCAGAACCGACTTTCATCCGCTTCCTGCCCCATCCTCCTCCTCCATTCTCCTCTTCACACCCCGTCATTGTGAATCGTACCTCTCGTCCACCTCCCCCCCTCCACCCCCCCATACTCCCCCTTCCCCTCCTCATAGTCTTCCAGCGCCTCCTCCTCGCTCGTAGCACCTGCATCCAAAAACGCTGCCTGTCCTGGAAGAAACCGTTACTGATGATGCGGACCCACAGAGCCCCGCCGAGGGCAAAAACCTAGAGTGGCACCCACCCAAGAGGGGAGACGCAAGGGTGGGAGAAAGAGAAACAGGAAAAAAGAAAAGGAGGCCGCAGGGGGCGTGAACGGGTCAAGATCTCGCCGGCCCTCCGACAAGGCAGTTTCCAGAGACGAGACACCAGGCGCATCGAGCCGAACCCAGGGGATGGAGATCACTAAACCGAATCTAGCGCAACCCGGGGCGCAACTAATCTGCACTGTCTGGAGCCAACCCATTGCAATCTTGGTCACGCCACTTTGTTCTTACCACCAACGTTCGCGCCTCACGGGCTCAGGCGATTCAACTAAGCCTGACCCTTGCATAACATAACAAATGTACCAAGATCGGCTCTCCCGCTGACTAGGTTGCATCGCCCCCCCGTGTGGCGCAGTCCAATGCATCTGTGATCGCACCCTGGTCCCACGATTGACAAGGTGAGTCGAATCAACGAGGATGCGTCGGGGGAGCTCCTCGGTGTCAGGACTGCTTTCCATCACGGCGGAACCCTGGAAATTTCAGGACTGCGCCCATCACATCTTCTTCGCCTGCGGCACGAACGATGCGATGACGCTCGCCTGCCTCTTCCTCTGGGAGGGCGACGGGCTGGGGCACCGATGCGGTCGGAGACGAGGCCGACGTCGCTCGCGACGCACGAGGGGCCGCGGTGCCCTTTCCAGGCGGTCCGCCACCCCTCACACGATGAGCGCACCCTCCACGAACTCGAGTGTTTTGTCATCGGCGGCGCGGGACACGAAGCGTCGGGCAGCAGCAGCTCGGGAGCGGCAGAACCAGTGGCGCATTACACCTCTTGGAAACGGAGAGAACGGCCCAGGCTCCAGCAAGAGTCGTGCAACATGGCCGCGGGTTGGCAGAGCACTCCGGAACGCGCCGGAGCCAGCGCAGGTGCTCAGTCGTGCCACGCTTGGCCGGCACGAGGCAGGGGCCGTACGCACCCTGGAGCTGCCCGGCCACCATGCGTGTGAGCAAGCGCCCCGCCTCCATGCCTAGCTCCAGGAAGATCCCTGAGAGCAGGCTTCCGCACATCCGGAAGGCCTCCTTGGCCAAGAGCGCCTGAGCTCCACGCGCAGCACGATCAGGAGCGTCATTTCTGTCCAGGGCACAAGGAAAATCGCGTAGCCTCCGAGCAGCTTCAGCGGACAATGGTTACTCCGAGAATGAGGTGAGCCGTCAAGGTGTCGAGCGAGGCCAGACCAAGATCCAGAGCGGCGGGTGCCATCGGAGGATCAACGCGCCAAAGCCTAAGCCAGACGTTGCCATGTACTCGATCGGCAGGAGACGAAACAATGATGGTTCTGGCCATTCCGCGCCCATCTTGGTTCCGAATCCACTCCAAGCGGCCAAAAGCGCAACTCTCGCAAAACACAACTGTCAGGCAGTAGGTGCACATGATGAGCCCGTAACCCAAGCAGATGCCTGAGCCCAAGTGGCTCTCCTCATCCCCCTACTGCAGCACTCCTGCTTGAACCTCCGAAGACCAAAGAACTCCCCCATCACCAATCCCCCCCTCGTCCTTCTCCTCGTCCTCATCGTCGACGTCATCATCGTCGTCGTCGTCGTCCTCGTCCTCTTCCTCGTCCTCGTCGTCTTCCTCGTCGTCGGCGCCCTCCTCCTCCTCCTCCTCTTCCTCCTCCTCCTCCTCCTCCTCCTCTTCCTCCTCCTCCTCCTCATCCTCTTCCTCCTCCTCCTCCTCCTCCTCCTCCTCCTCCTCCTCCTCCTCCTCTTAGCACTGCTCTGGACCTCTTCTCCCGGACGGGCGGGATGCGGCGGGGAGCGCGGAGTCCAGGCCGGTGCCCTGCGAGACGGACCCCACGAAGCGCCCGACGAGGCCGCCTATCAACATGGTGCCTTGGCGGAGGCCCCCAGCGGGCCCTCACGGCACAGAGAGGGCGGAGGCCCCCGAGGCGGGGGAGAGGAGGAATGGGACGAGGAGGGGAGGAGGGGCGGAGAAACGGGAGGGCGGGTAGGAAAGGAACGGTGTTTGGAGGCGGAGGAGGAGGAGGAGGAGGAGGAGGAGGAGGAGGAGCAGGAGGAGCAGGAGGAGGAGGAGGAGGAGGAGGAGGAGGAGGAGGAGGGGAGGGGCAGGATACAGAAGGGGATGCAGAGAAGGGCAGAAGGCAGGAGAGGCAAAGAGAGGCAGGGGAGAGGAGAGGACGGGACGCAGGGGGAAGGGAGGAGAGGAAGAGAGGAGGGGGGGGGGGCAATGCACTTACCGGTGCGAGTCCTGTCTCACATCTTCTGCGCCCTTCCCCCTCCTCTGCCCACATTTAATTTCCACCCTGCCCGCCGCACGCGTCCACAAAAGCGACCGTCGTCGAGACTGGCAGCAGAATCGCAAGACCCGTCTCATCACCAAAGCGGACGCCTCCACCACGTGATGAGTCGCTGGTATCAGCATCATAACCAAAAGACCAGGCTCTTTTCACACCCATTCCCTCCCAGGACCACGCCGGCACTGGGGAGGGGAGGGGCTCTTTCCGCACGAAGCCGCGCGCCAATCCTGCCCCGCCCTCTCCCGCAGTCGGGGCCCCTTGGGCTCCTCGGCGGACGAGGGGCAGCATAGAGCCAGGGCCCTGGGTCGACCCAGGAACCTGTCTTCATGCTGCCGCTCGCCTGTGCTGGCGGGCTTCCCCGAGGGTGGAGATCTCCCCAGGCGGGCGGGCAGGCGGTCCATGCCAGAGCCCGCCCTCGGGCGGGCTTCCCCCACGGTGGAGATCTCCACACCCTGGGGACACACCTGGCCGCCCTGGGGCAGGCGCCCCCCGGGGATCAACGAGAGCGCCGATGTGTGCCATCTCTGCCGCCGAAGTCTGGGCCGCCCCCCTCGACCAGCGACAGCGGGGGGAGCCTTGGCCCCATCGTCTCGACGATCCCTCGACACGGCCGCAAAAGCCGATGGGTCCCTCCAGGTAGGGGGGTAGGGACCACAGCTCCCCAAGCTGTGGCTGGCCTGTCCGCGCCCCCCCCCCCCGGCGCCGGTGAAGTTGCCCGAGGGCACGGGGATCCCGGTGAGCGACACGTTGAGGAAGGTGTACGCCAAGAACGCCTTGGGCCGTCGAATGCGCTGGATCATCTTGCCCCCCTCCCCGCCCTGGCCTCTCTGGCCGGGTATGGGTCGGATAGAGGAGGGAGAGGAGTAATAGTTAGGAGGTGGAAGATTGGGGGAATGGGGATGAGGGGGTTGAGGAGAAGGAGAAGGAAAGGAGGGATGAGGACCATGGAGTGGAAGCAGTCATGGCATCAGCGATATCAACAATAGCAAGCTCAACGATAGCAAGTGTAAGAGAGGGATGGTGAACAGCAGCAAGAGGAGGCGGAAGAGGGGAGACCACAGGAAGGAGCTCCGTCCACGCCAATCACCGCTTGGCGCTTCGACGGGCTCAACTGCTCAATCGGTACAGCTTATATTTCCCAAGCAGTGCGCGCACTTAGCGGTTCCTACTTTTGTTGCCGGAAACTTGATGGGCCCCTCGAGGATTCGCCTGGTGACCAGTGGTTGGCCAGGTGTGGGCGCCTCGTGGGCGCCCCGTGGGCTGGCTGGGTCCGCCGGGGTTTCGGCTCGTGCCCCCCCGTGTGTGCCTCCTGGGCGCCGCGTGGGCGGCCGCATAGCGTGCACCACATTTCTTGCACCGCATATATTGCAGCATTTCGTTTTTACCATCTACCACATACCATTTACCGTGAACAAATTAGCTCAAACCACATATCTTCTCCTTTCTAAAATGAAAGTAGACTCTACCCCCCCCCCCCCCGGACTTATCGGTTCCCCCAGGGATAATATGATTTCATATATATATACATATATATATATATATATATATATATATATTCTGCACACTCGCCCATCCTAAATATGAAATCATAACATCCCAGCTAGGCCAGCTTCCCCCCCCCTGAAGTTCCCTTGTAAAAAAACAATATGCGGTGGCATTGTTTGTTCTAACGTAGCACTTTTCACGAATCCCTTGCAAAAACGAGACGAAGTGTACACGCGCGCGTCGTCGCGCGCGCATGCCGAAATCCTTCAAAAACCTTCGGTGCGGGAAGGATTTCGCAATCGAGCTTCCAAAAAGCAGGTAAAAACAAAAGGTTTCGCAACACAGCGTTGCTAAAAAAGCTTCCGCGAAAACTCTTGCGAAATCTTGAAAAAACCATTGGTTTTTCAAGATATTCACAAAATGCTACCAAACGGGCTTCGCGCGCGCTCATGTCGAAATCTGTCAAACGCCCTTGCGCGCGTGCCGTCGCGAGAATCCCGTGCAAAAAATGGGGCGAAGTGCAGGCGCGCGCGTCGTCGCGCGCGTATGCCGAAAACCTTCAAAACCCATCGGTTTCGGAAGGATTTCAAAATCGTGTCCAAACAACGTACACAACACAAGGTTTCGCAACACGTATTTTCAACAAAAGCGTGCGCGCGCGCTCTTGCGTCGTCGTCGTCGTCGTCGCCGTCCTCCCTCCTCCCGCGTCGTTGTCGTTGTCGTCGTCGCCTACGTCGTCCTGTCTTTCCTCGTGTTCGTCGTCGTCGTCCTCTTTGGCGTCGTGGTCGTTTCCGTCGTCGTTGTCGCCGTGGTCGTCCTTCCTCCTCCTCCCTCGACGTCGTCGTCGTCCGTCGTCGGCGTCTCGTCGTCGTCCCTCCTAGTTCGTCGCCGTCGTCGTCGTCGTTGTCGTCGTCGTCTTCCCTCCTCCCTCGTCGTTGTCGTCGTCGGCGTCGCCGTCCTTCCTCCTTCATCGTCGTTCGCGTCGTCGCCGTCCTTCCTCCTCCCTCGTCGTTGTCGTCGTTGTCGCCGTCGTCGTCCTTCCTCCTCCCTCGTCGTCGCTTTCGTTGGCGTCGTCGTCGTCGTCGTCTTCGTCGTCGTCGGCGTCGGCGTCGTTGTCGTCGTCGAAGTCGTCGGAGACGTCGTCGGCGTCGTCCTAGTCGTTGTCGTCGGTGTCGTCGTAGTCGGTCTTAACAGGTTTTGCAAACCAAGTTGCGGGTGGGTGGGTGGGATGTTTGCGCGAGCAGTGGAGATGACGACTTCAAGTTGAGCATTGGGTTGCACCGCATAGCTTTTACCACTGGGATTACACCACAGAGCTTCCACCAAAAGGAATACACCACATAGCTTACACCACACAGCTTGCACTGCAAGGGTTCCACCACATGGCTCGAACCACCGAACTTGCGCCGCAGAGCTTATTATACGTACCAGCTTGCACCACGTGGCTTACATCACATAGATTTCACCACATTCCACACACCGTGCAAGTACTCACTGTTTGTGGTCCACGCTGGCAACAATTACATGATTGCGAAGGCGAAGCACTCCATGCCCAAACTGAATTCCGCATCGCGAGCGGCATTTTGCCAATGAGCAACGAATCGTCCATCCCCGTTTTCGATTTTTTCAGGCACCTCCATGAACAGGCAATCGATGTATCTGAGCTGGTGCGAAAGACGCGCGAATCGTGTTTTAATGCCGCCGCTCTTCACACTCACCGTGCCAGCCACGCCGTCGCGCTTTTGTGACAGTGGGGGCCCCGATCCCCCCCCATCCCCCACGGGCCCAGCGGGGCCGCGCAAGGCGGTCTCGAGGTCAAAAGGAACAGACGCGCAGCGAAGGGGGGAGGGAGAGAGGGAGCAGGAGAAAAAGGAGACCGAGGCAGAGGAGGAATTCGGACGGACTCTGGTCTTCTCAAAGAAGATCTGGGGGCTTCGTGCGCCCCCCTCATGGCGACCAGCATTGTGCCCGATCCCTCCTCATCCCCCTCTTCCTGCCGTTGCTGCTCGCCCTCAACCGCAGCCGAAAACCTGCCTGAGCAGGCTCTCTGAGAACCACGCTGTAACCCGTCACGGCAGAGGGAGAGCTGAACTCGGAAGGCCAATGTTGGCCATTGCCTGCGCTCCCAAGTCACACCGGGTCATACCTACTGAACACCTGGATTCGTTTGGATCGGTGGCGGGTACCCCCCAAACAGGATTAGCTTGTCATCCTCTGATTAACTCGGAGCTGCCCAGTGCACTCGTTTCGACTACCTTCCCCGATCTGGTCTCTCGGCTCGCTAGCGTCGAAAAAAAGTAAGGATGGTGAAGAAACACGAGGAGGAGGAGACGGAAGAAGAGCAGAGAGGGCAAAACCTAGAGGCAGAGGAGAAGACAGATGCAGAAGAGAAGGCAGAGGAGGGCAAGCATCCAAGGGAGGAATAGAAGAAACGGCAGCTGAAATAGAGGGAGCAACATGTCTAGCAGGATGGGCAGTCGTGGGAGGGGCGGCTGGGTGGCCAAGAAAGTGTTGTTGGCGTAGATGTCCCCGCTGTTCTTGCGGGAGAAAAGACGCCTGCCAACAAGGCCACGGCCCGTCTACGCGCAGAAATTCGCAGGGATTCTTGGGCTTTGACCCTGAGGAGAGAAAACTGAGGGATGAAGGAATGAACGGAGGAGCGGCAGTAGCAACAAGAGGGGGACTCGCGGCGCGCCTTCCTGGAGTTGCAGTAAGGGTGGCAACAACGGTAGCAACATGAGTCCGCTGGCCCCCGCTTGCCGGGGGTGAGAAGGCGTGTGAGATGATTTAATGTCCTTCTCCCTCATCCGGTCGCCCCCTTCCTCTGGAGTTCAAACTCCCATTGGAATTGGGAGGGCGGGCACTTTTGAGGCTCTGGATGGCTCCAAGGTGCCCCCGTACAGCCAAGCATGGATCTCCAAGATCGCGCAAGAGGGTCGAAGTCGGCCCAAGCTAGCCTCTGTCATGTCTCTCTGGCCCCAAGACCAGCTCAAGACAGCTTTCAATGGCCACTGCGCCCCGCAGATTGCCCTTACAAAGTCCCAGAGCCAGGACAAACTCGAGGCGATGAAATGATTTCTGTCTTCTCGCCATTTCGCTTCTCCCTGGGCTTCGTTGCCCAGGGTTGGCCCCAAGAACATCCGAAGCGCCCTAAATTCATTTCTGGGCTTCAAAAGCGATGCGACTGGGGGACACCCCAAGATCCGCCACCGTGCCCCCCTGGCACGCTGAGGCGTGGTAGAGTGCCAAGTGCTGCCTCTGGTAGGGCTTCTGCAACCTTCTGAGGACCCCCCTCCCGCTCCCGGCCACGCAGTGTTGCATGCATCGCCCCCCACTCCCCCCTCCCAAGGACTCCTGGGCGCCCCCTGCCTGCCTAGCGCTCCCCAAAGCGTCCAACATGCCCAAGATGCCTCCCAAGACGGTCCTGGCACGCCACCAAAGCTGCCAAGATGACCCAGCATCGCTCTCAAAACACCCCGAGATCGTCCCAATAAGGCCCAAACGAAAATGCCCCCAAGACGTCCCAAGATGGCGCCCAGAGGTGCCCGAAAAGGTGAAACCATATATTCTGAAGAGATTCTGAAATGTCCTGGCGTTCTCACTTTTCCTGGCTTCCGTCAGCCCAGGACGGACAATGGGCCCCCAACGTGTCCCCAAGACGGCCCGAGAGGCACCCAAGAGGCTCTCAAGATGGCCCGAACAAAAATCTCCAAAGCGGTCCCAAGACGTCCCGATGAGGCCCCAAGGCGACCCAGAGAGGCACCCAAGACGGACTCCGAAGGCGCCTCACTGCCCAAGAACACCCTCGGACGGCCACAGGAATCCCAAGAGGCCCCGAGAGGCCCCCAAGAAGCCCCCGTGAGGCCTCCAAGAGACCCCCAAGAGGCCCCCAGAGAGGAGGAAGGGAGAAGAGGTTTCGCAGAACGCTCCGGCCACATCCATTGAGGCCCCAAGATGGTTCCCATCTGGCCCGCACCTGCTCCAAGACTGCCAGTGACTTCCCTACGAGAATGCACGGAAACGAACATTCAAGTATACCAGTTCACGGACCTCGGACCCACGCCGAACTACCTTCATCTGCCGAACTCTGTTAATTCCTCTCCTCCTCTGGTGAGATGGCGTAAGCCCCTTGAAGTCGGAGCAGTGAGAAACAAAGCGAAAGACACACATACAGAGAGAAAGAGAGAGAGAGAGAGAAAGAGAGAGAGAGAGAGAGAGAAAGAGAGAGAGAGAGAGAGAAAAAAAAAAGAGAGGGCGAAAAAGAAAGGGCAAGGAGCATTTCAACGACACCCCCCTTGAACGAGCAGCGAAAAACAATACACGACGTCTCTTGCCCTTCCCTATTGCACTCTAATAACAAATTTGCGTCCAGCATCTGCGTAACGGTTTCTCATCATCTCTCCCACACCTACTCCTCGTCATCCTTCACCTAATACTGCTGCTGCTCCTCCTCTTCCTCCTCCTATAAGCCGCATGCTCGCAGCCGCCCTGCAACCAGCAGCTAAGCTGAACGCGTATCACTGCGGGCCACCGTCACCAAACAGGAGGGATGATGAGGATTGTTTTGCCCGCGAGGCTCCAGCTGCATCAAGGCACAGCGGCTATCTGAGCGCTAGGGGGTGGGGCGGGGATCCTGGTGAGGGCAGCAGCACCAATCTCTGGTGTGTCTCACCAGCGGATGAACGCAACGCGAACGCAATCAGACTTGCCAATCTTGTTGAGAATTGTGTCCAACGCAACAACCCAATCTGCCTCATGACATGGACCATATACAAGTACGTGGTGACCCGTGACATTTGTGCCAATCCCAGCAGACGAAAGGCCGAAGCGCAAATCATGACGGTAAATCCGCCACCGCCCTTACGCTAAGGCGGGATTTAGGAGTGATTGTTGGTTGCCTGGTTAGGGAAACTGGAGCTCCCAAGGGCGACCGCCAGGCCCAGACCGAAAATCCCCCATTCCTTTTTCTGCTCCGCGGCGGCGCCATTTTCGGCCCACCGGCCCAAACGTCTCCAACAATTAACAGAACCAAGCTCGCCGGCTAAGCTCGGCAACACCATTGCGACCAAGACGGCCCCCGAACCCAAGAGGCCCATGGACCCATAGAGCCCTGCAACAGGCCCCGAAACAAAAACGGAATGATTTCAATCTAACGAAGATGCGAACATGGACACGGAGGGTGCGTTCAAGACCCATGCTAGTCTAGACAGGGCACGGACCCGGATCTTCAACTGAACCCCCTCGAGCTGCGCTGCTGCGCTGGCGGGGTTTGCCACAGGCAGCTGGATATAAACGCCCCGGGGTGTGTAAAATGCGAGCAGGAGTTCGTCAAACGAAGACGGACTCGAAATCTTGACGTTCTGAAATCTGAACAACCAACATCTCCGAGACTTGTCCCACTGAAGCTGCGAGCTCTTGCACTCAACGCGAATATCATCTCGGTGCCAATCGCACACTGCGTTGGAATCTCCGCGCCGCCGTGAGCCACCCACGCAATGCCCGGAATCGGGCAACTTGATTTCAAAACAAGGGTTAACGATTTGATCAACTCGCCGGGCAAGCAATTCAAGTCGCTTCCCCCTAGCGGAAGGAGTGACCTCAGATAGAGGACAGCGATGAAAAATCTTCTGAGTGATGTTGCGCCGAATATCTAGAGCGTGTTGTATCCGATTGTCCACTAGTGGCATCATTGACAGACGCACGCAAGAATTGGCGCCGCCGTCGAGCTTGCCCAATATATTATCCAATGCCAAACGCCAGTCTTCGATGCCACGCCTACTACTTATCCGAATCTGGTGCCCACCTGTAGCGGTGATCCGTCCCGCAGAAGACAAACCGAATGTACCTCCATATCTGTAGAAGTAGAGATGCGTAGGAGTGTACAAAACGAGATGTAACTCATCAAATGCAGCCACTCTCCTAGCTTCACCGCACGCAATCTTAATCCCAGGGAAGAAGAACTGCCAACTCTTGCTCCGGGGGACCCATGACATCTTCGAACTCTTGCATTCGATACGCAATCCATCCCGAAGCCAATCATACTCCATTGATTTTAGTGAACGTCTGGAACCGTTGTAGCAATTACCAGGCACCCTCGTCTCAAATATGGAGCCCGTGTTCACTTCAGCGTCAACCTTTTGAGCCACATCTGCAAGGACATCACCTCGGAGACTCGGAGTTATCGTGGACAATGGGACCCCTTCAAAAACATCAGACGTAGTAGCCGTGCTGCTATGAAGAATCTGCGAAAAAGCCGACGCCGGTAAGATCAAATGGCGGACGGTCTGTGGTGCTAGGAAGAAGCTTCGACTTGAGCGCCATGAGACGGCGCACTTCAACGCCATACAGAAAACAAGTCCCGAGAACACCTGCCTTGGAGGAATCCCCTGTGATTGCCACGAAATTGATGCTCCTTGAATGCAAAATCCGCGGACCCCCGCTGGCCAGGGGTGCTAACGGGTATGAGATGATTGGCTGTCCACATCCCCCTTTCCCGATTAAACGGGGTCTGAAACCCGATTAAACGGGGGCGGGGAGCTGGAAGAGGGGGGGGCGGGGGCTCTCCGAGCTCATCAACGCTCCCCGGGGGCCTCCGGAGCCTCCGTTCCTACACTCTGTGACCTCCAAGATGCCTAAGAATCGATCTACTCTTGCTCAGGCAGGGTTCCAACACGCACAGGAGTCCTGGAAGACGACCAAGATAGCATCAGACTGCCCAAAAGGCTTCAAAGACGCCCCAAGAGGGCTCCAAGACGAACCCAGAGAGGGCCCCAAGAAGCAAAAATCGTCCAAATCCCCTGGGAAAACGTATACTGTGTAGACGTTCACATGTTTGGTCTCATCGTCCAAGACGGCTCAAAATGCCTCCATGATCACCCCAACACGTCCCAAGAAGCTCCCAAGAGGGCCCCAAGACGGCCGAAGTGGGCCCCAAGACGGCCCAAGAGGCGCCCAAGATTGCCCAACAGAGCCCCAACAGGGCCGCAAGAGGGGCCCAAGAGAGTTAACTTGAACTGACACTCCGAGCCCTCCGCCCCAAGAGGACCCCCGAGACCGCCAGCAGACGCCCAAGAAACTCCCAAGAGGCCCAAAAGAGGCCCCCAGAGGGTCACCAAGAGGCCCCCAAAGGCCTCAGCTGTTGACTTCATCCCTCTTCTGGGGATCGGCAGAATTGGCGTAAGCCTTTTGAATGAATCGAAGTCCACGAGAGTAATGATGCTGCAACCACGGCCAATCCTGTGCAACGATGGTAGGTGCGCATGTGCTGGGCGTGCTGCAGCAGCGGCCCTTGATCAGGAAAACACCGACCCCATCGACTCACGGTCTGACCGAGTACTCACCAGTGACAAGTGAGGCCATCAGATCTTCGAGCCAATGATTCGTATGCCAGGCCTGCCCTGACCCGATGAACTTACGAATGAACAGAAAGAGGACGAGGACGATGACGACAAAATTGTCCTCCGAACGAAGAGTAGGATAGGGATGAAAACCAAGACGAAAGTCTGACAACGAGAAGGAAGGTAGAAGAGGGAAACAGAGGCGCAGAACAACAACAC